GCTTGTTTTCCGTCCTCGAATACACTGTGCTATTGAGTCATCAATCATATTGCCATCAGTCTAGCGGGCTGGTAGGAGAACACTTTTATTCGGTAAAAAAATATCATGATCACGTGTTTTACTCCTTTATATGAGCTCGCTGAGTGCATATCCCGGTCAGCATAATTGCCACATCCGTGTGTTTAGTACGGTTTCAATATTGCCGCTACTTAATATATTAACACAGATGTTTCTGACTGTGTTGGTATTCAGGCAAACTCAAGCTAATGAGAGTGGTGTAAGTTTGAGCGGATTCAAATGAGGAAGAAAACCTCAAAACTCGCTCCGCTGTATACAAAAAGCAAACAAACAAACAAACAAAGAAAACGTGTTGCGGAAGAATGACGCTGACTCATATTTTTTTTCAAATCAAGTTGATATTTGACTGACTTACTAAAAGTTAGATTGTAAAGTTTTACATTTTGGCGCGCTAATAGCTGACGAACATTTTGGCCAAGTTTCGTAAAAATCCGATAAATCTACATACTCTATTAATTCATTTGAATAGAGGCAATCCACGCAAAAACAAACCTTGAGTTTGCGGCCTCGAAAGAAATTCACAATTTTCGCACCTCACTCAAGCAGTTGTCGACGTGGCCATGCCGGCAACCAATGAAACGCAGCTTAAACTCTCCAGCGGGCTACTTTAACGCTTCCCGGGAATGAATGTGCAATGTTTATATTTACAGTACATTTTTAGTTTAATATCTTACATCGTCTGCGTGGAACATTCAGCATCTTATAAACCCCCTATAAACCGAATCAGCGGATAAGTGGTAAAGAAGGTAAAGGGGAAATTAAAAAAGAGAAATGTTAGCGGAATAGCCTTGAACAGGCCGAGTCGAGTGCAGATATTTACAAAAAGAAAAAAATAAAACAAAAACAAAAACTAAACGCATAATTCATCGGCCTGTTTGTTTTATTAGAATATGGAAAAACACTCTTCGAAGCAGGGGAAAGATGCATTTGGAAAAGCTGTCTCGTCAGATATCAGTTACAAATTCGTCGGTAATTCCGCGACAATCTTCTGTGCCAGAAGAAGCTAGAGCAGGGCATCGATGAAACATTCGCTTGCGATCTGCGCTTGCGTTCAAATGTGGGAACGCGAAGCGCCTAGTCTAACATTTCTGTGCGAGAAATTGCAAGACGGAAGGGATAAACAAAAGAGGCGAAATACGACTCCGCGGATGAGATCATATGCCGTGAAAATTGTTACTGCTCAACTCAAGGGTTCACGCATTTTAATTCGCTCATCACAGTTTGCGGTTCATTGACTCGTTTTAAAAAATTGCGTTTTTGTGGATAACTTGCTCGCGTTTTAGGTTTTTGAAATTTTTTTTTTGGAAAATTCAGATAAAGTAAAAGTCTTGAATTTGGTGTAAAAAAAAATTTTTGGACAGAATAGGCTCTTGAAGGTCTACAGTAACCTTAAGAAAAGCTTAAACTCTTGGTTTTACAAGTATAGAAAATGTGAACTAACAACGTTTTAGCCTAAACATCTCAACACTGATCAGAATTTATATAACTTGCGTCGACATATCAAGTAACCCATAAGAGTATTTTTATATTAGGTCTTTGACGCTTGGTATCTAAAGCTTGATGCTTTCATATCATTCTTCGGTAACGGTTAATCCCCTTCTGCAAATAAATAGCGCTGATGACGAATTTACATATAGACGGATTGTTACCTTGACAAAGAAGAAGTTGATCACCCAAGGAAACATGGTTTCATTTGGATGTCAAACAGAATGAGTCTGTTAAATCCATACACTCCCGAAAGCTTCGATTATCAGGGCTTGCTTTTAAATTGAGCAAAGCTCTTTCAAACTTACATTTTTTTTACATTTGTTGTCTTTGTAATGGACGAGCAAAATCAATTTTGAATCCTGGGTTAATTTATCATTTTCGGATGGGCTGCCCAAAAGATAATAAGCAGGACGTTTTCTTTGCTTATAAAAAAAAAGGGAGCAACAAAATGAATCTGTATGGGTCCCATTTGTCCTCAGTTCAGCATTGTAGCTTGGCTTGCGATTCGCCAAAATTCTTTTCGGCTACCTTTTTCTGAATTTTCTGGATTCGCTCTTGTTACCTAAAGCCTCGATAATCAAGGTCTATGTGTGATATTGAAAAATCGAATATAGCAAATTTAAATTGACCAAAGCTCTTTAAAAACCTTTATTTATTTATTTATTTATTTATTTATTTATTTATTTATTTTTTTTTTTTTTTTTTACATCATTC